ATTCAGCTACTGGGCAATGCACAATTAGTTTCTCTGTGTCATGTTGCCATGAAAGTATCAGCATTACACTATGGGGAAGTTGCTCCTGCAGCTGGGGCTCTGCAGGGATGAAGTGTGTTGCTAATCCAGCTCTCATAGGTCACCTACACACAATTTCAAACACTGGGAAAAGCTCTCCTGATGTGTCATGGAGTTAGAGTAGAGCTTCTGACAGCTCCTCATGCAGAGTTTGATGCTAACATCTGTTACTGCCTGCCTACCTTACTTACCTTCTGGAATCTGCCAGCAGAACAGAAGCAAGGGGAAATAATTAGTGGGACTTGTCACTGGTAATGAGGAGGCAGCAGGGCAGATCTGCAGCTGCAAAGGATTGAATGAGAGGAGCTGGAGCAGTTCAGGGCAGTCACAGAATCAAAGTATGCCTAACATGAGGAATACTGTTGGCTGTCACACAGTGAAAGAGCACTTTTCAGAAGACTGGAATGGCTACTTTTAGAGTTGCCTCAACTTGGCACCTTCCCTCTTAAAGAGAAAAGAATACCATATGCTGCACAAGGGTAAAACCACTTTGTGCAAAGACATTAGCAGAGGAATGCTTTGAGGATTTAAAAAGAATCAAAACCATGCTGAGGTAAAGCACAATTTTTATTGCAATTTAGCTAACACAAGACATATAAAAATTAATTTCAGAGAGGTATTCTGAAAATGAATTTGCACAGAATAGCAGCAGGCAGGATATTGGGCAAGTACATTTAGGAAAGGTTGTTTTGGTAGATCATAGTCCTTGCTCCCTTAGAACTAGACTTGCAGCATAAATAAGAAAAACTAAAGTTTTTTCTTATTTATGTCCAGGGTATGACAGCCCTGCAGGATTCTAGCCCATGGCAAGCACCAGCTGAGGTGTATTTAACCTCCAACACTACAGCAAAAGAGTCTTGCAGCTGTCAGCACTTAAAGCAGGGAAAGCTACAGGTTCCAAGTGTACAGCAGGCTTTTGGTTCATAGCTCACAGATCCAGATGTGTGGTACTTAGGCAAAAAAATCACACAGAGCCAGGGCAGCTCTTCCTAAAATCTTGATTTTAGTAAGGATTGCTACAAAGCACTACAAACTGGAAGTGTTAGAAATTGGCAAACCTACTGGGAAGAAGCTTGTTATTTCCCTCCCCTGGGAATGCCTTCACATGAAGCAACAAAGCAACTATTGACACTACTGAACAGTGAAGAGCTTCATAAAGTATCCCCTCATGAGAGAAACTTAGTGCATTGTAATTCAGAGTGAATCTGGCAAAGTCCCCTCTGCTGTTTATGGGAGAAGTAAATACTGTGAGGCCTGAAATGTGATTTTCCTATACAGGGGATACCTGTATCACACCTCTTGGTGTCATCTTTGAACCAGTTGTAACATTTAAGCTCTCATCAGTTTATCATCAGGAAGCTCAGGCATTTGAGGTCTTGCACTTAAACCCAAATCTTTAAACCTTGTGGCTTAAATATCTTGAATTGTAGATGAGGCTCCAGTGGGACTGCTGGGGCACAAAGGACCTCAACTAAACAGAACCTATTATTGCAGGATTCCAGGCTTGCAGCTGACCCCATAATGAGGTGGAACAACCCTGGCAGTGGTACAAGGGATCTCTGTGTGCCCTGACCTCCGCTGTGAACCCCAAATCTCTCCTCTCCCTGGCACTTCAGCCAGGGCTGGAGAGTCACAGACTCCAGGCTGCAGAGCCAGGACACAGACTGGGGAAACTGTGGAGTAAGAACCCAGGGAAGGTGTTCCTAATGGGATCAGTGACAGTGAAGCTGCCCCAGGGATCCAGCAGCAATATACCTGAGACTTACGTAGGAACTTGTTACTCATTAATCATTAGTCAAGACACACTGCCTGCCAGTGGAAGCTTCTAACATTTGCTGTTCTGCTGTGATACAGAAGGAAAGCAAGTTGTAAACTACTCTGGCACTTTAGGGCTGGATGTGTTTGTGGGGAGATAGGAACAGCCTGTAAGGTTTAACATTTAAACCATGAACAAATAATTGCAGAGTCATGAAACACAGTGGTATGTGAAGACAGCTGTATCTCAACACAAAACACACTCTAAGAATGAAATAATGAATCAAGAATATTATCAGGGAAAACTATTCAGAGTTCTTGGAGCCCAGATTCTCTTGAATTTGAGCAGTTTAGTAAATATGTTTATTAATCACACTACAGGTCTATAAATATCAGTGATATTTTAAATATATTTTAATTATGGGTTCAACATTAGTGGCTTCTTTAATAGCACACTTAAAAACAAGCAAACAAAATAATAGTAAAAAAATCCCTAAAACCCAGATGCTCTTCCATCCAAAACCCTTACACTGATCATATTGGTAAAATAGAGGAAGGGAAGTAGTACCTTTGACAGAGCAGTGCTGCTGCTCGTACAAGAATAGTTGCTAAATTTCCCTGCAGCTGCTTCACTGGTGTGCAGGAGCTTCAGGAATGCATGGCATGGCTGGTTACCAAAAGAGTTCTCTCTGAACAACACAAAAATACAGTTGAAGATTTATTTCATTACAAAGTAGCTCTGTTTGGAGGAGAAACAGGATTACAATGCTTGCAATCATCTTTCCACTCCTCCTTGAAGAGCAGCTCCACCAGCTGAGCTGATGTGCCAAGCCAGCTCAGTGGCTGCAGGGGAACCAATTCCTTGGTGTTCAGGGAAGCCACTGGAGAACAAACCTTTGTCTGTGAACTGGAATTTTGGCAGCACTTCCTCAGCATGCAGAAGCCAAAAGTGGTATTGGATTGACAGCATCTGGGAAGCAATGAGATACAAGCTTGTTTTTATGCACACCTATATGGAGTTCCTGTTATTATTTGGGATTGGCCACTAGGAGAGTCAAAGTGCTGACTGACAAAGGAGTTGCTTTTTACTCTCTGCTGTCACTTAACAACAACATTCTTCTTACTTTATTTTCCACCTTTTTTCACCCACGCTTTTGATCTCTAAGTTCATGATGGAACATTTTCCATTTCAGCACTAAAGAAAACAGTTCCTCTGAGTTTGTGGACCATATATTCTACAGGAACTGTATTTCTGGGCAATTTGTGGCATGTCTGCTGAATTCAAGACATAAGCACAGTGAGTGAAGACATTTCTGTTTTAACATGAGCAGATCTCTATGATAAATGCTGCCACTGCAGAGTTTATTGCAGCCCACCCAGCAGGCTGAGATTCTGCAAGGGTTGGAAGATCCTGAGGACAGGAATTACAGCTCAGGTCTCAGCATGTGCATGACTTGAGAGAAACTTACAGTGATGGCACAAGGACACCACCAGAAGGGCATTTTCTCTTTTTATTGAACAAAGGTGTTAGTAGTGTAAGTAGGCTTCAACTCCCAAGTGGCAATTTATGATAGGAAAAGTCAGAGCAACCTTGATAGTGAAAAATTTGAAACATAAAAGAAATTAAATGATAAATAAGAATGCAGGAAAATTGCAGTCATGTGGTCTAATTGACATGTGAAAACAGTCTGCTTTCTGAAATTTTAAATGATTGGCACCACTTTACTCCAGCAGGGGAACTCCAAGGGTGATTCTTATTCAGTGATAATATTTTGCATAAGAGCAGCCAATTATATTTGCCAGGCATGCAAATGCTGATGGCCTGGATATGTCATCTCAGCATCTGACCTTCTGCTACCATTAACCTGCTCTTCCTCACATGAATTGCTCAAGTCAAACTGGTAAGGAGACTTTTAAAGGCTTAAGTAGTGCAGTACAAACAAACAAACACAAGTACACACTCTTCTTTACAAATGCTTTATTAAAAATGCTTCTGGGGTTGTTCATTTTGAGATATTACTCTACATAAATGTGGAACTCGAGTAAATTCTTGGTTTAAAAAACTTCATCTATATTTTGAAATGCTTGCAGCTACAGTAGAGTGTAGGAAAAATAAGAATTATTTCTAATATTTACACAAGGACTAACAGCACAAAATTGTACAAAATGAAAAAAAATATACAGTACAGAGACTTTTTGTAATATCTGCAGATGATACTCTGAAAGATCCCAGCCTTTGAAACTGAAATTCAAAGACAGTTAAACTTCTTACCTCCCTTTTCTTCTTCCCTCACCTCCCACCCCAGTATTCAAACCCATTACTCAGTAGAAATGATTAATGAAGAATGTTAAGATATAACAGATGTGTTTTCTTACAAAAAACATCTTAAAAATATATATTTATATATTCAGGACAGATCCTGTTTCCCTTATGTGACTAGATTTACATGTGTAAGAAATAAAATTGACCCTGTAATTAGAATTGAAAGCACAAAGATCCAACAGCAGAAGACAATTCCAGTGTATTTTGTTATGCTTCCCTTCAGCTTCAAAATTCCTGTTGTGTGCAGGATGAAGTCAGTTTGCTGCCACGTTCCCATGGCGCTGGAAGGGGGTCAGGCTTTAAACATGCACTGGCACGAGAAAAAGCCAAAGACAGCACTCACCATTCAAGTGCTGCTTGTTACTCACTATACAGTGGTTTTTATTATGGATCCTCCTGAGTGTTTCAGGAGAGTTTTGGCCAAATAAGAACTTGCTGAGCATTTAATACAGGCAGCCTATACCTGAAGCCAGGATATGTAAAGGTACCACCACATTTCTGTTACCACTTTAAAAAGCACAGCAATGTTAATGCCATGCCAGAAAGAGCCTCCTGCCTAAGGCAAGTTGTAACTTCTCAAGGACTTCTGTAGAGGAGCCTGGTTAGCAGCAGCACAAGCAGTGTCTGAGAAGAACTTTTCACTATTCCTTCTATGATCCCTGCTTTTTCCCATGCAGCTGCTGAATGTGGGGTGTTTGTGATTTCAGTATAAAGGTAACAAGTTGGTGGCTGTCAGGAGGAGGATGCAGTGTGGTCCTAGAGACAAGAGGCTAATGCTAATCACCTGCCCGTGGATCATTTCCTGTCATAAATAACTATCCTCTAGTGTCCTAGAATGCTTCAGTTAAACCTCTGTGCCTTCCCTGGGGTACAGGGTGTTGTTTGTGCTGAGGCTGCTGTAAAAATGGGTGTTAAACTGGTTGAGCACCGAGTTGCTGTGGCCAAGGTGACTGGAAGGCATGGAATTGGACCAGTCTCCCACACCATGGCTGGGGATACTGGAGAGTGGGGAGTAGGAATTGAAGCCTACCATGTTCTGCCCCATTTTGTCAATGGGTTCAGAGCTGAGTCCCACGGGCCCGGAGCGGCTCCCCGAGTTGGAGCTGTGGACATAGGCGGTCATGCTGGACAGGAAGTTACTGAGGCACGGGCTGCTGGAAGAGGGAGGAGGAGATCCTTTCTCAGGTGAATTGTCAGTCCCAGGTGATGAGTTTTCCAAGATATCATGATGCTCTGCAGCTTTGGGGCTGCCAGTCAGGGTACTGTCCTCGGATTTCTCAGATGCAAGAGTAGCAGCACTGGCATCAATGTCAGACTTTCTCTTCCGCTTCCTGCGAAAGTTTCCATTGTCAAACATCTTTTCACAGTTTGGGTCGAGAGTCCAGTAATTCCCTTTTCCTGTCCAAGGAAACAAACACACACTTTAAATTTAAAAATAGGCACACACACACAAAAAGCAGTCATTTAGGGCTTTACAGTGCTTCTCTCATTTCACAGAAACAGAACAATTCCATGAGCAATACCCATGTATTTTTAGTCACCCAAAAGTACAAGTCTGTCGAATTCAGAAAAAAAGTTTAAAGTTCTGGGTTCTACCCTTTAGACCTTACTCATCACAAGGACAAAACTACAAGTGGAGTCACTGGGAGGGCTTTTTGTTTTGTTTTCTTGGTTTTCAGAATACAGCTGGTCTTCTGAAATTATGGCAGAGTAATCAAATCCCACACTGGGCTGCTCCTCCAGATTCAGTGGGGTATCATAGGTTTCTAGCAAGATAGAATTAGACTTTTGGCCCTCTACTGCAGAATAGTTTCAATGTGTTTTTAATGTTCTCAGTGGTTCTTCACAGCTATTGATAGGAAACCATGAATAAAGGAATATCTGACAGCCTACCAGCCAAGGGGTTGGCAATGGCAGAGGTGTCATTCCAAGCAAAACAAATCGAAACAAACAAAATAAAAGCAGCGTGCTCTCCTCTTGAGAATTAATGCTGACTCCCCAAAGCCATTGGCTTTCTTTGACAAATCCCCTTCCCTTGAATTCCCAGTTAAGTTTGACACAAGTCATGCATTACACCAAATGGCTCTTGAGTGTGCCTTGCCCAGTTAAATGTTCCTGTGCCTGCTGAGTATTGTGCTCAGCTCATTGATCCATTCTCAGGAGGACCCAGAGCAGGACAGAATTCCCTTCCCTCCAGAGATCTCACAGCAACATTGATTCACATCTCAGCTATGCAAAGCTGCTTTCTAGTTCAGCCTTTTGAAAACAAAGCGCTGCTGTGTCTGTGTCCTGTGTCTGGGCTACTACATCTCTTTACAGTGTACTAGGTATTTTAAAATTCATCAAGTTTAATTAGAGCTGGGGGGAAAGGGGGAGAGGGCTATACCTGGATCATCTTCATCTCGAGGCACCTTCTTGAAGCAGTCGTTGAGGGACAAGTTGTGCCGTATGGAATTCTGCCAGCCAGCTTTGCTTTTGTTGTAGAACGGGAAGTTGTCAGCCACGTACTGGTAGATCTGGCTCAGAGTCAGCCTCTTGTCAGGTGCCCCGTGGATGGCCATGGCAATGAGGGCAGAGTAGGAGTAAGGTGGTCTCACCAACTTCATGAGCTCCTCTTGGGACGGGAGGGGAAGCCAGCCAAGGTCAGTTCCTCCCAAGCTGTGCATGTTAGGCAAGAGCTGCCTCTGCATCCCGTACGACTGCGGAATGAAAGGACTGGCGTTGGATCCTGGCAGATACGGCGGTGGGGTAATGGAAGGTCCATTTAGCCAGAGGTAGGGGTTGGGAGTGGCGTTGTAATCCGTCGTCTCAAAGGTGCTTGGTCGCTGGGGACTCGGGATGTTCTGTGGATGGAAGAAGTTCTCGTAGTAGATATTCATCTCTGGAGGTTCTTGGCCGATATTTGGGAATTGTGGGCTGCAGCGTGGAGGGGAATGCGTTTGTGGGTCAAAGAAGCTCATGCTCTAAGCCAGGTAGCTGGTGAGTTGTGACACACCTGTGCTAGTGCTCCTTTCTCGGGACAGGTGCATCACCTGTGCCCTTCCCTAGGTACTTATGCACCTGTAAATGTTTCAGCCTGTGCTGCAGGCTCCACCCCACAGCCCTGAGTGGCTGCAGATGAGGACGATATCCTTTTTGGAATGCTGGCAGTCCCAGTCAGTCATTGATGTCACATCAACCAAACGTGAAAGTTACAACTGTTTATCTTCTTAAATGAATGAAGGAATTTTCCACTAATGTGATGCACATGAAGAAAGCCTAGGGTTTCTTGAAGTTAAAGATCCTTCTCAGTGAAGCTTTAGCATTTCCTATTTTTTTTCTTATTAAAGAAAAGCCATTTTGTGCTGCTGTAATTAACACCTCAGAATGCAACAGCCATTGTCACTAGTCAATGAAACAGTAGAGATATATACTTAAAAAAAAAAAAAAAA